AGCACTCCAGTCTAAGAAACTACCAGAATTGCAAACACTGCTGACACAACTCAGCGTTCAGCGAAGAGTCGTAATGCAGTGGATACCGTCTCATTGTGGAGTGCCTGGAAATGAGAAAGCTGATCAACTGGCAGGGGAAGGTGCGAAAAAAGAGCAGCCAGATGTACCAGTCACATACCACCAAAAGAAAAGAATCATTAAATCGATCAGGAAACCACACCAGCCCCAGCACAAGACGACTATTTTATTATGGACAGACCAGAACAAGTCATTATCTTCCGCCTCAGAACAGGGCACAACCGATTACGTAACCACATGTTCACAAAATTCAAGATAGGTGTATCAGCCATGTGCATCTGTGGAAATGTGCCCCAGACCGCAGAGCATGTACTCCAGGACTGCACCGAATTTGACACATTAAGGCAAACCTTTTGGCCAGAAAGAACAACAGTGGAACGTAAACTCTATGGACCACTGAATGAACTAACAACGACAGTGAAATTTATACAAGAGACAAAACTGCTGATATAGATAACTTATTTCAGGCGAACGAAAGAAGAAGAAGAAGATACCAGGGATACAGCCAAATTACCAACAGGAAAGCACTGTCACAACTATGATGCAGAAGTTCAAGCCATCAAGATAGCGGTAGAGAAACTACTAAATACAGGGTATTTTTCACAACCAGTGGTATTCCTGACAGATGCAAAAGCAGTACTTCAGTCACTCCAGTCTGGAAAATTACCAAGCATACGGTCACTATTATCCGAACTAGGCAACCGCTGTAAATTAGTAATGCAGTGGATACCTTCCCACTGTGGAGTTCCCGGAAACGAAAAAGCTGATCAACTAGCTAAGGAAGGTGCAACTGAAGAACAACCTGACATACCAGTCTCTTATCAACAGAAGAAGAGAATGATCAAATCAATCAGAATGCCATCGAAACTGGCACAAGATGATTACCATATTATGGACAGACCAGAGCAAGTCATTATCCTTCGCCTTAGAACAGGGCACAATCGACTTCGCTCCCACATGTACCACAAATTTAAGATTGGCCAATCAGCCATGTGTACTTGTGGACTGACACCTGAAACAACAGATCACATCCTTCAAGACTGTACCAGATTCAGCGCTTTCAGGCAAAACCTTTGGCCAAAAGAGACACTTGTGGAAGTCAAACTTTACGGGCCGCTTAGTGAATTACAAAAGACAGTGAAATTCATACTAGAGACAGCTTTGCAGATATAGACAATTTATTTCTTGCGAACGAAAGAAGAAGAAGAAGTTTGAGCTCTGGATAACAAGTATAAAGTTTGAGCTCTGGATAACAAGTATAAAGTTTGAGCTCTGGATAACAAGTATACAGTTTGAGCTCTGGATAACAAGTATACAGTTTGAGCTCTGGATAACAAGTATACAGTTTGAGCTCTGGATAACAAGTATAAAGTTTGAGCTCTGGATAACAAGTATAAAGTTTGAGCTCTGGATAACAAGTATAAAGTTTGAGCTCTGGATAACAAGTATAAAGTTTGAGCTCTGGATAACAAGTATAAAGTTTGAGCTCTGGATAACAAGTATAAAGTTTGAGCTCTGGATAACAAGTATAAAGTTTGAGCTCTGGATAACAAGTATAAAGTTTGAGCTCTGGATAACAAGTATAAAGTTTGAGCTCTGGATAACAAGTATAAAGTTTGAGCTCTGGATAACAAGTATAAAGTTTGAGCTCTGGATAACAAGTATAAAGTTTGAGCTCTGGATAACAAGTATAAAGTTTGAGCTCTGGATAACAAGTATAAAGTTTGAGCTCTGGATAACAAGTATAAAGAAGAATAAATAATAATAAAAAGAATAAGAATAAACAAGAATAAATAATCATTGAAACAATTGAATTTAAAACCTGGATCCATAAAGGAAGCCATGTGTATTGAATAAGGCCACTAGGGAGGGTTGGTGCGAGACTTAGCTTGTTCCATAACAGATATTTGCTTTTGACCCTTTTGCCTCCCTAAAAAAGATCATGACCCTATGAAAAATATTCAGTAAAATCTACAATAAATTTGTTTAAAATGTAATTCTCTACATTTGAAAGTTACTTTTATAATCATGTAAAGATATATGTAATAAATAATCATTAAACACAATTAGAGTGAATCATTAAAGAAATACAGCCACTAGGGCAGTGATTTCCAAACTGCGGCAAAATATTTAAAGATACAAGTTTAAAAAAAAATCTCTTACATGCAAATAGTCATACTTTTACTTAGGTTAGGGCTAAGAAAAGTTTGAGAAACACTGCACTGGGGCCTAAAAAACATATATTGGGTGAGTCATACTGTGACCTCTATCACTGTGTCTTACAAAATTTTTTTTTTGGCTTTTAGCTGATAGAAAAACACCTCTAAATGATATTGTCAGAAAATGTATTCATATCCTGATTCTCTAAATGTTTGTGCGGATGTGAACACAGCCAGTCATGTTAACAATGAGTCTCATAAACAGGACACTATAGACAAGTCAGAAAAGTGACATTTATGGGGAATTGGACCCAACTGGAAGTGTAGGCTTTTCAGCTTCTTGGGAGTGGGAAGGGGGGGGGGGGGGGGGGGGGGGGGGGGGTTCTGTCTAGTCAGTCATGAAGGTCTGCAAATGGCATGGGCTGGTGTTGGTTGAGAGATGAGACAAAATAGTAATAATAAGATATTTTCGGTAATGTTTTCAAAGGATAGACAGCTAGATAATAACCCTTATTGAATGACTGAATATAGGTAACAATAAAAGTATGTACTTTTGTTTTACATATCACTAAATGCAAAGTCAGATTTTCTGTAAACATTGATCATGTATGTTACCCGGTAATACGGACAAAATATTGAACCAGAAAATAAGAAGCTGGAGAGATTGAGATGCTCCACATGCGTTATTGAACAAAAAGATGGTCGATTTTTAAATGTCAGAATGCCATCAGAATGTGTCAGACAACGTCATGCCTTCCTTTTAAAAAAAAGTTTGTCGCCTATTCTTTACAGAGAACCAACCGAACTGTTTCTGTGGCTGCTGTGGTTTTTCTAGGCAAATTTTATGTTGAGACTTCTAAGATATCTGAAAACAGACTCCATTGGTATAGTCTTGTGGCAGAATCAGCAGCTTTGTCAAAACAGTACTGCCTCTTGATGTTTTAGTGTTTCTGTCTTCATGTGATACACGCTTACTGCAGATGTCGTCAGATTCATTCTCTCACTCGCTGGCCAAACCTTTTTGTTCTTTGTTTCTCAGTGGAGTTGTGCCAGTAGTTTTTCTCATCTCTTTATTTCTCATATGAACTCTTCTTGTTTTCTTTGCAGCCTTTTTCAAACACTTCATATATTTATGTTTTGTTGCATTGAATTGAGTCAGTTATTGATTTTCTTAAATGAAATAAAAACCAAATGCAGTTAAACCTTTTCACTCTTTGAGGCCCGAGTAGTGCTGTGCGTGTTGATTGAGAAGTTCTAGTTTGCCCAAACCACACTGTCTGCGCCGGTCGCGTGTCCCGTACATGTTGATTCATTTCTAATGTTCGTAACTACCATCAAAGTATTCATGGGAGGTTACTCTAATGTTCTTCTTTGTTCGCACATTTGTTGCCAGCATCATTTTCAGACAATGCATTTTCTGATTTCATGTTTGAGTGGCCATGAATACCAAAGTTCCAACCACAAGTACAGGTATTAAAATGAAGCTCTGAAATTGTTTCAGTCAGATGTTTTTAATTCTAATAATGTTAATGAAAGTTTGGATGTTTTAGAAAGTGATTCGGAAGGTGAATTTACACCAGCGGCAACTTAGCAGTCAGCTATTCATTGTGAAGTGCCTGGAAATGAGAAAGCTGATCAACTGGCAGGGGAAGGTGCGACAAAAGTGCATCTGGATGTGCCTGTCACATACCACCAAAAGAATATGATCCTTAAATTGATCAGGAAACCACCAGCCCCAGCACAAGATAACTATTTTATTATGGACAGATCAGAACCAGTCATTATCCTAAGCCTCAGAACAGGGCACAGCCGATTACGTAACCATATGTACACAAAATTCAAGATAGACGTATCAGCCATGTGCACCTGTGGAAAGGTGCCCTAGACAGCAGAGCATGTACTCCAAGACTGCACCAAATTTGACACATTAAGGCAAACCTTTTGGCCAGAAAGAACAACAGTGGAACGTAAACTCTATGGACCACTGAATGAACTAACAACGACAGTGAAATTTATACAAGAGACAGAATTGCTGATATAGACAACTCATTTCAGGCGAATGACAGAAGAAGAAGAAGAAGAAGCTGTTCATTCTGAGGTAAACCCAGGAAGATGCATTTCATTTGTCAAGGATGTGACAGTCACCAACATATGCTTCAGACAGTACCATACCATGGCTAAGCTGCATTGAAATCATTGCAGCTACAATCTGAATATCACTGTTCAAAGTTGTTATTTCATGTGTATATTGGTCCAGTTTTCTGCCATATTTTCTTTGAAATTTTGTTTAGTACATTATAAGAACCTAGAGCCTCTGAGTGATAAACTAACCCAAAAACTTATCATAACTTTGGAATTTGTTAGGAAACTGAACAAACTTTAAATTGTTGTTCTCAAATGTGGATATTCACTGTTCTTTTGGCTGCAAAACCATGGTAAGTGAAGATTTTTGGGGTAAAATGTTGTCTTTGTAAACATAACACTCATTGAATTCTTTTTACATACTAACTATAATAGTATTAAAAACATTTCATCAGATTCAGAATGTACATTCATTCCTCTTACATATATACTTTTGTAGGAAATAGAAATGTATTGCTTTCTCAATTGCTTTAAAAAAAAAAAAATACCATCCCCTCTGCCAATTTTGTAAAGGGAAATTAAAGTGAGCCAAGTCTGTCAAAATGCATAGGCCTGACAACTTTAAACACATTTGTTTTTAATCCTTTATGATGATGATATGTTCTTTCAGGTACTTTCATCATGTCAAATGCATCAAGAATCCCACGGACTGGAATACGTACACAAACCAACCCCCATGGACTTAGGCAGATAGAGCTTGATCAAATCTGGGATGATCTCAAAGCAGGAGTCAAAAGTGTTTACAACCGACAAAGCATGTCCAGACAGAGATACATGGAACTCTATACGTATCCTTAATGATAGATAACCTGAATACTTCACTCTGATAAGGTGTACTTTGAACAAAGAAAACAAAGACAACAGATTGCACAGTTTATTGCCATGCATATTTTGCTGTTGGTCTATAAAAATATAGGTCTAGCCCTATATGCCCTATACGCCTAAAGGCGTGGAAAGGGTCCTTTACTTTACTTTTATTTATATTTCGCTGTATCTCGCCAGGTGAAAACTACGTTAACAAATAATAATAATATAAAAAAAAAAAGCAAATAAATCATTCCTTCAAACTGAAACACAAAATCGACTGCATTCAAAAACTGTCTTTTTTAACAGGGTAAACATTTGGTTGAGAGCATGTCCTTTTGTCTGCCTAATTCTGGGATAAACCTGTTTATCATCGCAGCTTCCACAAATCTCAATAATCTACGGTTGGCAAAAATGCAGATAATTCAAAATGCGTCTTCCTTGTTTACAGTTTGCCCAGAATCCAAAATATGACAAGCAATGGCTGTTCGGGAATGGCTTAAAAAGTGCTACTTCGACCGGGAGTACTTTGATAACTGTGTAACCTTGTCTTGATTAATAATGTCCCAGTGTGGGTTCTTGGGTCCCATTTTTGGGGAAAACAAGAATAGACCCACTGCTGCTCCACAGGCATGTTTGTAGGAGTTGACTAATTGGGCGGTGGTGCTAGAGTTGCACAGTGGAAGAGAGTGAGATCTCCCCAAGTATTATGCCCAAAGTCAGCACTGTATTCACTTCAGCTAACTTTCATTGTGGAGACAGCACTTGGGGGGAAAAAGGGGAGAGAAAGATACCTCTGATGGTATCTACTGTGGCAGTGGTCAGAAAATTGCGACTCTTTTGCGCCTTAAGTGCGGCTCGGCCTGTCAGCCACAAATCAATTTTGACTCTGAAAAACTTTGTACTTGACAGGTTCTTGAAAAGAAATTTGGCTCTCAGAAATTTTTTTTATTGTTCTGCTGCTAATTTTTATGGCTCTTTTGACTAATGAGTTTGTCGACCGCTGTACTGTGGTATTAGATTACCAACATTTTAAAAGATCTGAACATCAAGGAGAATCAGCTGGTAAACAGCATCTTGTCACTGGAGCTGAAATATTTTAGTCATATCAAGCATCATGATGGGTTGGGAAAAATAATAGCAAAAGGCATGGTACCAGGAAGGAGGGGCAGGGGTCGACCAACAGGAAGATCGGCTCAGGATATAAGTGACTCCTTAAATATGAAAGTACATTAGGTGGAAGAGCTGGCAAGAGACCGAGTTTCTTTCAGGCAGATTATGATGAGAAAGACATTCTGCAAAGGACCTGCTGCATGATGATAATTAGATTATCTTTGTACACAGGTACACACCTCTGGGGGAAGCCATCATGGTGTAGAGGCTAGGCACTTGAGAGTGGATCGGAAGGTCTGGGGTTCGGGTCCTGGCAGCCTTTTTTTTTTAAATATGACCTCAGGTCGACCCTGCCTTGAGTGGGTACCAGGTATAGTCCTAGGAAGTAAAGGCCGCTAGCGTGGTGTTGACCATGTCACCAAGTGCCAATTGGTATATAAAATATAGTTCTTGCTCTATATGTCCTTTACGCCTTAAAGTGTGGAAAAGGGCCCTTTTACACTTCTCTGACTGTAGCTTGGGATCACCTTTATCCAGGTGTTCCTTCCCTGATCAAGTTAACGTTAATATCCTCCTAGTGTGGGTTCCCGGTGGAAGAAGGGTGAGGAGGGGGTGGGGCGGAAAGTAGACCCACTGCCTTCTCAACAAGCATATCATGAGAGTTGACTAATTAGGGGTTTTCTTCAAAGTCGAGGTATATCTTCTAAAGAAAAAGAACCAGCAGTCTGCATATAAGTAAGCCAGATGTGTGAAATGGATGCACAGGCAAAACTCAAGTTCTGGAACGAGACTAAAGTTCAGAAGTGAGCAAACACCCAGAATTTTCTTGCAGAGTTTACAGCCAGTGAACCTGAAGAAGAAGAAGATCAAAATAAATTGCTTTAAAATTTCTATTTTACTAGATACATTGCTTTTGGTGTATGGTTTCTGATGCTTGGTTGGCAACAATTCTGATAGAAGCTACTTTGCATACATCCTTAACCTCCCACCTCAGCCATGTTTACAACTACTGCACCAGTGTCCACAGTGCCGGAAATCAGAATCAGCAGGCCACATCATCGTCTGCTGCCTCCGGCAGTCGTAATCCAGCTTCTCGCAATAGGAACCGACCTCAAGGAGGTGGGGCCCAATTTGTTGGTCATGAACTGTACAAGAGAATCAAAGATTTGCTCAAACAACATTTGGTTAACCTCTTGAAGGTAATGTTTTAGGCTTCATTTTTTAAACTCTTGTTTCTTATTTGGGCCTTCCCCACCCCCCTTTCCAAAGTAGGATGAGTCTGATCTTAATAATTTATTCCAGTCCAGTATGATTATTATGCTGATCTTTGATCTTTTAAACAGTAAAACCATAGTGCCACATGATCTTTTAAACAGTGAAACCATAGTGCCACATGATCTTTTAAACAGTGAAACCATAGTGCCACATGATCTTTTAAACAGTGAAACCATAGTGCCACATGATTTTTTAAACATTGAAACCATAGTGGCACATGATCTTTTAAACAGAGAAACGATAGTGGCACATGATCTTTTAAACAGAGAAACGATAGTGGCACATGATCTTTTAAACAGTGAAACCATAGTGCCACATGATCTTTTAAACAGTGAAACCATAGTGCCACATGATCTTTTAAACAGTGAAACCATAGTGCCACATGATCTTTTAAACAACGAAACCATAGTGCCACACAACCTTTCAAACAACAAAACCATAGTGCCACATGATCTTTTAAACAGTGAAACCATAGTGCCACACAATCTTTCAAACAGTGAAACCATAATGCCACATGATTTTTTAAACAGTGAAACCATAGTGCCACACAATCTTTCAAACAGTGAAACCATAATGCCACATGATCTTTTAAACTGTGAAACCATAGTGCCACACAATCTTTCAAACAGTGAAACCATAGTGCCACATGATCTTTTAAACAGTGAAACCATAGTGCCACACAATCTTTCAAACAGTGAAACCATAATGCCACATGATCTTTTAAACTGTGAAACCATAGTGCCACATGATCTTTTAAACAGTGAAACTATAGTGCCACATGATCTTTTAAACAGTGAAACTATAGTGCCACATGATCTTTTAAACAGTGAAACTATAGTGCCACATGATCTTTTAAACAGTGAAACCATAATGCCACATGATCTTTTAAACTGTGAAACCATAGTGCCACACAATCTTTCAAACAACGAAACTATAGTGCCACATGATCCTATCAAACAGTGAAAACATATTGCCACACAATCTTTCAAACAGTGAAACCATAATGTCACATGGTTTTTTAAACAACGAAACCATAATGCCACACAATCTTTCAAACAGTGAAACCATAGTGCTAATGATCTTTTAAACAGTGAAACCATAGTGCCACACAATTTTTAAACATTGAAACCACAGTGCTAATGATCTTTTAAACAGTGAAACCATAGTGCTAATGATCTTTTAAACAGTGAAACCATAGTGCCACACAATTTTTAAACATTGAAACCATAGTGCTAATGATCTTTTAAACAGTGAAACCATAGTGCTAATGATCTTTTAAACAGTGAAACCATAGTGCTAATGATCTTTTAAACAGTGAAACCATAGTGCCACACAATCTTTCAAACAGTGAAACCATAGTGTCACATGATCTTTTAAACAGTGAAACCATAGTGCCACGTGATCTTTTAAACAGCGAAACGATAGTGGCACATGATCTTTTAAACAGTGAAACCATAGTGCCACGTGATCTTTTAAACAGTGAAACCATAGTGCCACATGATCTTTTAAACAACGAAACCATAGTGCCACACAACCTTTCAAACAACAAAACCATAGTGCCACATGATCTTTTAAACAGTGAAACCATAGTGCCACACAATCTTTCAAACAGTGAAACCATAATGCCACATGATCTTTTAAACAGTGAAACCATAGTGCCACACAATCTTTCAAACAGTGAAACCATAATGCCACATGATCTTTTAAACAGTGAAACCATAGTGCCACACAATCTTTCAAACAGTGAAACCATAGTGCCACATGATCTTTTAAACAGTGAAACTATAGTGCCACATGATCTTTTAAACAGTGAAACCATAGTGCCACACAATCTTTCAAACAGTGAAACCATAATGCCACATGATCTTTTAAACTGTGAAACCATAGTGCCACACAATCTTTCAAACAGTGAAACCATAGTGCCACATGATCTTTTAAACAGTGAAACTATAGTGCCACATGATCTTTTAAACAGTGAAACCATAGTGCCACACAATCTTTCAAACAACGAAACTATAGTGCCACATGATCCTATCAAACAGTGAAAACATATTGCCACACAATCTTTCAAACAGTGAAACCATAATGTCACATTGTTTTTTAAACAACGAAACCATAATGCCACACAATCTTTCAAACAGTGAAACCATAGTGCCACATGATCCTTTAAACAGTGAAACCATAGTGCTAATGATCTTTTAAACAGTGAAACCATAGTGCTAATGATCTTTTAAACAGTGAAACCATAATGTCACATGATCTTTTAAACAGTGAAACCATAATGCCACACAATCTTTCAAACAACGAAACCATAGTGCCACATGATCTTATCAAACAGTGAAACCATAGTGCTAATGATCTTTTAAACAGTGAAACCATAATGTCACATGATCTTTTAAACAGTGAAACCATAGTGCCACACAATCTTTCCAAACAACGAAACCATAGTGCCACATGATCTTATCAAACAGTGAAAACATAGTGCCACATAATCTTTCAAACTGAAACCATACCAGAGAATCTTTCTTGCAGTAAAAGACTGCCAAAACCTCCTTTCAGCATATCGTTTAACTCTGTTAGTCCTACAGAGTTCTGCATCAAATGCCCAGTGAAGGAAATCAACCATTGTATAAAATTCTGAGGACATGGCTTTCAGGGGGTTACGTGTGCAGTAGTGGCTAGGATTTATGGGAAACATAATCATAGTCACATATAGCACATGGAGAACAACTAAGTAAATTACTAATAAACTATAAACATTCATTAACTGGTGCCTGCACAGAGTTGAGGGAATTAAATATGATAAAATCACTAATGTAGAGCTTTGCGAGAGAACTAAACAAGTTCAAGTGGACCAAGAGGTAAAGAAAAGATGCTAGCATTGGATAGGACACACGTTGAGAAGCCTCAGAACAATGTAACTAGAATGTCTTTGCACTGGAACTCACAGGGGCATAGAAATAAAGAAAGACCCCAAAAAATAACACTGAGAAGGGAGCCAAAGAGTGAAGTAAAAAATATGGGGAGAGCTGCATTCGATAGCGAAAGATAGAACACCTTGGTGTCAGTTGGTTGAGGACCTATGCATTAGGAAGTTTAAGAACCACTGGTCTGAGGCTGATCATTATTATCATCATCATCATGTGCCTTGCCAACTGGCGATCATGCCTCTCCACAATCTGCAGTCTCCTGCAGCATGTATCAGTTCATGTGCTGACACATCTCCATGCCATGCAACAAGATTATCAAGAATCTTTTCTCATGGCTTCTCTCTCTCCTTCCACATATCTATCAAGTGGTCACAATATGTTCTGTTTTCCCTCTTCTCATCATCATGTGCCTTGCCGACTGGCGTGGGCGATCATGCCTCTCCATAATCTGCGATCTCCTGCAGCATGTATCAGTTCGTGTGCCAACACACCTCCATGCCATGCAACAAGACTGTCAAGCATCTTCTCTTGTTGTCTTCCTCTATCTCTCCTTTCACAGATCTTTCAAGTGGTCACAACATGTTCTATTTTCCCTCTTCTCATAACATGGCCGAAAAATGATGAGTCTCCTTCTGATGTCTGTGATAAGCTGTCTTCGGGCTCCCGCCTCTTTCAAAACGTCTTGGTTGCTCTTTTTGGCTGTCCAGGGTATTCTAAGCATTCTTCTGTAAAACCACATCTCTGAGGCCTCTAGAAATTGTTTGACCTGCCTACCGATTGTCCAGGATTCACAGCCATATGTTAAAACTGGATGTATATAGCAAGCAAATTTCTGTGCCTCTTGCCTTTGACTTTACCTCCAGTATAATGTTTAACAGAAAGCTATGTCTGTTAATGTGGCTGAAGTATTTCACTTGTCTCCTTTTTTATTTTAACAATTTCCCTAAGCAACTCTCTTTAAAAAAAATCCCAGTCTCTCCAAAGCTTCTGTATTTGTTTTTATTACAGATTTATTTGTTTTTATTACAGATTTCAGAGTTCTTTTATGAAAGCAATATACAACAGCTATCCATCTATGAACAGGACACTGCATGCTCAACTAGCATGTGCATAAAATAAAGACTACAGTCCACACAGTGTGCCTGTCAGACGCGATCACAAACACCTGCAGACCTCTCCACTCTACCTGCAACTTTGAAAAATAATCTGGCCTAAAGATGAAAGTGCAGAGCAAGGTATGGGGAACCATGAAAGACCCTCAGCTGACATGGGAGTTCATAGAGGCAACCCACCTGATGGGGAACCATGAAGTACCCTCAGCTGACATGGGAGTTCATAGAGGCTACCCACCTGATGGGGAACCATGAAGTACCCTCAGCTAACATGGGAGTTCATAGAGGCAACCCACCTCATGGGGAACCATGAAGTACCCTCAGCTGACATGGGAGTTCATAGAGGCAACCCACCTCATGGGGAACCATGAAGTACCCTCAGCTGACATGGGAGTTCATAGAGGCAACCCACCTGATGGGGAACCATGAAGTACCCTCAGCTGACATGGGAGTTCATAGAGGCAACCCACCTGTTGGGGAACCATGAAGTACCCTCAGCTGACATGGGAGTTCATAGAGGCAACCCACCTGATGGTATGATTTGAGCAAACAAAACCAAACTCAGAGAAGAAGAAAAAGAGGATGTTATGAACAGACTGTAGTTGCTTATATCCAGTTGCAAACAAAAAAAGGAAAGTATGGCAGAAGTATCCTGATTAATTCGTTCATATACGCAAATGTTGAGAAGTTTCTTTAAAAAGTAATTGGTAACACTTTCTTTTATCCCTCTGAAAAATTCAGGATGGTCAGGATTTACTGGATGAGCAAGTGTTAACCTTTTACACCCAGAAGTGGGAAGACTATCAGTTTTCCAGTAAAGTATTAGACGGTATCTGCGCCTACTTGAACCGGCATTGGGTCCGCAGGGAGTGTGATGAAGGCACTCGGGGGATCTACTTTATATATTCTGTGAGTATCCGCTTGTTCATGAGCTCAAATACAAGCATTGATGTTGTACACACACTTTCTCCATGTGGGTTCTAGGGCCCCATTTGGGTGGGGGGGGGGGGGGAAGGAAGAATAGACATACTTCCCCATGTGGCTTCTGGGGCCCCATTTTTTGGGGGAAAAAGAGAATAGACCTACTTCCCCATGTGGGTTCTGCGGCCCCATTTTGGGGGGAAAAGAGAGTAGACCTACTTGGGCCCCCCGCCGACAGCAAGTCTGTCATAAAAAGCGACCAGTTAGGAATTTGGTGAAATTGAATGTGTTGGAAGAAAGGTACAGATATCGCAGCCTAAATGTAAACCACAACATGACATGCCAACCATCCACACCCTTTCAAGGGTGAATGCAGAAGAACAAAAAAATGTGCTGAATTATCTCTGACTGTCAATCAATCAGGTGCCATCTCAACAGTGAAGATTGTCTGCAATAGGTCTCCAACAAGCTCTGTCTCTTGTCCTGGTTGTACACTCTCTCAAACTGCTGCCCGTCCATCTCTTGATGTTGTCCTCCCGCTTGTATCGTTGCACACCTCTTATCTTTTTGCCTTCGACCTTTCCCTCCACTATGGTTTTTAAAAGTGTGTCAGAAGCGCATTATCTCTGACTGTCAGAGCATTCCATATAATGTTTTTTAAAATGGTCAAAATAATGCCAAAGATTCTGTCTAGCAATTTAAAAAAAAAATAGGGGAAAAAAATTACAAAAAATCTTTACGACATAGAATATTCTAAATCCTAACAAAAATGGATCACAGTTTTTCAAATGTCATGATACGACTGGAAAGATCGCTGATAGCAGAGGCAGACCAGGAGAAATGATGGTAGATGGCTTAAAACAGGGGCAGGGAGGAATGTCATTAGTGGAATTGATCCAGAACACCAAAGACTGAGATCTGTGGAGATGCAGATGCCTGAACATCTTCGCCAGCTGGCAAGGCACTTGATGATGATACAGACCTGTAACAAATTCAAGGAGCCTCTCCAGAATGATACTGCAGGGCTTTGGGGCAGAGGATTTAGGGCGGCATGGCTAGGGCAGTCACCATGAGAGTATTCAAGTTAGGATTTTTTGTGTGTGCCCTCCCACAGAAAAGATCCATCACCTTCCACAAGGATTCTAACCTTCATTCCCCCCCACACATGAGCTGAGCATTTTAAAGTACTTAGCCGACCGCTCTTCACTAGTCTGATTTATTCATATGTATCCAAACTACAAAATGAGTTGTTGAAAATCTGACATCAGATACTCTAAGTACCATTTACAAGTCATCGAGAACGATGCCAAGATTCAAAACTGTTACTATAAAAGGAGTATTTAATGGACTATAAAAGGAGTATTTAATGGATATGCAAGTATAGTGTCATGAAATGTTCAGAAAAATTCAGTTTTAGACTTACCTTAGTACACTTTGATATGGGCTCCATTTGTAGCTCTGGTGATGCCTAGACGGTATTCAGTCTCCTGTCACGTCTTCTGAACCGTGTTCAGAGTTGTATGATGAACCTCGCTTCAAGTTGCTGGATTTTCCTTACCTTCTCAGCATAGTTTTTAAGCCTTGTGATCACACAAGGTCACACAAAACTGTAAACTTTATGGAACATTTTAAGATGCCACAAGTGAATATCCATTAAATACTTCTTTTGTAATAAAAGTTTAAATTCCTGGTCGTCATTCTTGAAGACCCTATTTAGACCCACACAAAGTATAATTCCTCCTCCTATCCCTATCAAAACTTGCCCCAGTATGGGCCACAATTTTAAAAATTGTATTTAGAAGCCTCATTTCGGCTGTTGTCGGGGGCTTTGATTTAACATAATGGTTGAACTGGGTTTCTGGGACTTGTACCCGGGCAATTCTCATCCGAGTGGTGGCACTTTGTGTCACCGGCTGTTTATCACTCATTGTACGGTCCTAGTGGGGTTGAATGGCACTGACTCATTCCTTCTCCAGCTACACTGTATTAGATCTAGTTCATGGATCACCTTGGAGTTAGATACTAACAACTCTTCCCACCACCCCTTACACTGGACTGCAGGTTACTGTTAACCTAACGGTGCCTCAGTGTTACACCATTGAGCAGGGTTTCTGGCATTTGCTCTGGTTTGATTCTCGTTGGCAGCACAGCCTGACTTGTTGTAATTGTAACGGATTCACAGAGCATGCTTTGGAAAATTGAAACTGGCCTCCTGCACGTAGAATGGCTTGTATCGCTTGATAAGGCAACGTATTAGATCAGGAACGTATTATGGATTTCCTGTCCGAGATATTCGGGTGAGTGGAGTAATGAGCAGGCTGATAAATTGGCTGCTGCCACTCCTCTGGGCAGTAAGCTACTTTATTATAAGGTAGAAGTGGTGAAGGCTCTCTGGGATCAAATGAACAGAACTGACAGAGAATCCACATGTTGAAATACAGACTTTTAATCAGGTGGTAACTGGTACTTCTAGCATGTTGATTCTTTGTTAGCTGCTGAGGAGGGAGACGGAACACATGTGGGAATATCTCTTGGAAATTGTGTTATCAAGTTTTTACTGTATGTACTAGCATCCATTTTGCTCTAATCATCTGCACATTTCTAAACTTTTCCAGCTGGCTTTGATAACCTGGAGAGACAACCTTTTTCGGCCCTTAAACAAGCAGGTTACCAATGCTGTTCTCAAGTTGATAGAAAAGGAGAGAAATGGGGAAACTATCAACACCAGACTTGTCAGTGGAGTGATCAGTTGTTATGGTGAGTTGATGCTGGCTATTGTCTTGAGCTTCTTTCCACCTGGTCTGAACTTTACAGATGTTGTCTTTCATGAACCGGAGACCAGATATAAAAAATGGCAGTCACATTCACTATATGATTTATTGGGGAATTTATTAGTCAGAATATCAGATATTGGCTCCTCATCATCATCATGTAGCATGTCCTTTTTGGCTCCTCATCATTATGTAGCTTGTCCTTTTTGGCTCCTCATCATTATGTAGCATGTCCTTTTTGGCTCCTCATCATTATGTAGCATGTCCTTTTTGGCTACTCATCATTATGTAGCATGTCCTTTTTGGCTCCTCATCATCATCATGTAGCATGTCTTTTGAAGAATGTTGCTGTCATCAAGGTCTGCCTGAATGAAACTTGGTCTCTCGCAAGATTTTCCGCCTCCTGCAATTTCCTACCCTAGGTGACATTTAAAACCTGTGTTTAACTTCGAACCAGTCGACCCTTGCCCCTCTTCTTTCTTGGTACCTTGCCTTCTGCTATTATGTTTTCCAAACCGCTGTGGCGTTTGATGTGATCAAAATATATTAGTTTCTGAGTCAAGTTGCTGCTGGTTACTAGCCAGTTTATATCAGTGTTCAGATCTTTTAAGATATCAGTATTTCTTGTCTTCTTTGTCCATGGTATTCTGAGAATCTTTCTACAGTATTTCCGCTCAAAAGATAGTGACTCCTAGTGAATGGAAATCTCCTTTAGTAGTGGATTAGGAACATATGGTGCCGCTGATTTATTTCTATGGCTGAATTGCATGCATAATTCTGTTCTGGATATGTTTGGTGGGATGCTCTGTATTGAGAAGGGACACAAGTATGTGTCCTGGGAAATAAGTATATGTCCTGGGACACAAGTATGTGTCATGGGACACAAGTATGTGTCCTGGGACACAAGTATATGTCCTGGGACACAAGTATATGTCCTGGGACACAAGTATGTGTCCTATGAAAATACCCAGAAAGGTAACCTGCTCAACAAAAGGTGGAAAGGAACTGAGTGTTTCGGTTGAAAAGATGCAAATGTTGCATCTGTGTAAGTTGAAAAGGCACCCAGAATGGGATCTAGAAATTGAAAATGTACTCTGTGAGTGAAATGGTGTGTCTCTGTTAGTTTTGCTGTTTATGCAGACTTGTCTTGTCTGCAGGCCGCCAGTTTTCATTTAACTAACTTATTTGTGTGTGTGTCCCCATGAATATTTAGTTGAGCTTGGTTTGAACGAAGATGACCCAAGTGCCAAAGGTCCCACCTTGTCAGTGTACAAAGAACACTTTGAGAACCTGTTCTTGGACGACACAGAGAGGTTCTACACCACAGAGAGCAACGAGTTCCTGCGACACAATCCGGTGACAGAATACATGAAGAAGGTATGAACACATTTTTCTCTAGCAAACACTGTTATAACTGAAATGGTTGGAGCATATTGAAAGAATGTCTGATGACAGAGAAGTAAAAACTGTATACACCAGGGAGATGAATGGTCGTAGACCACGAGGCAGACCAAGAAGACGATGGAGAGATAATGTCCAGGCAGACCTGCAAACACTTGGTGTCACCAACTGGAAAGAGAAGGCCGGCCAGAGAGATGAATGGAGGCGGGTGATATCTGCAGCAATGAACCTCAAGGGCTCGGAATGCTGAAGAACAAGAAGAAACACCGTTATAGCTATTGTCATAAAATGTCTCTAATTTAAAATTCTTTTTTTTTTTTTTAAATGTTGAGAAAAATGTGGAATAAAGTTAATTTAAATTAGTATCTTATTTAGGGTTATATATTAGTTGTTTTCTTCGTCTTCATTTTCCCTTAGAAGGGCAGATGGCACATTGTATTGTGGTTTACAGCTGGGCTGCGGTAGCTGAGTTTTTATGTCCAGCACATTCAATTTCAAACCCCTTATTAGCTACCTTTTACAACATGCTAGTGGGGGGGGGGAGGGGGGGGGAAGGGGGGGGGGGGGGTCAGTAGATCAACCCCCCCCCCCCCCCCCCCAATTGAGGCCATGGCACTCACACAGGGTTACCTTAGTTATAAACAGAGGGATTAATTTTGTCTGTGTGTGTATATATGTCATCATTTCATCCCTGTTTGGGTTCTGGAACCAGGTTATGGGGAAAACCAGAATAGACCCATTACCTCCCCAACAACCATGTTGTAAGAGTCAAATAATTGAGAGCTTCCTTTGAAGTCGGAGTACATCTGCCTGAGAGACAAGGTGCCAACAGTCTGCATACACATGAGTCAGACATGTAAAATGGATGTGCATGCAACTCTCAGGTTGTGGAACAGAGCTAGAGTCCAGAAGTGGACGTACAGCCAGAACTTTCCACCAAAGTTTACAGCCGGTGAACGCGAAGAAGAAGATCATATCATCAGCTTTATCATTTGCTGGTCAGCACAGTGTTGAGGAAGAGTTTGCCCCTGCCATCCAGGGCTGGAGGAGTGGGCTGTAGCCATTGTCGTTCTGTGTGTCATTAATGTCATCAGTACATTTCTCCTTGGGCAGCCTCTTGCTATCACATCAGCTCTACTATCCTGTGTACAGATTGTGAATTGAATTGTAGGCATTTAGTAAATGACCTTGGCTCCCAGGTCGACCCAGCCTTGTCACATCAGCTCTACTATGCTGTGTACAGATTGTGAATTGTACACATTTAGTAAATGACCTTGGCTCCCAGATCGACCCCGCCTTGTTGAGTGGGTACCAGGTACGATCCTAGGAAGTAAAGGTGGTCAGCGTGATGCTGTTCACATAACCCATCAAGTGCCGTTTGGTCTAGCCCTATATACCCAATACGCCTGAAGGGCGTGGAAAAGGGTCCTTTACTTTTTTAAATTAGGTATTTAGTATTGTACCACATGTCTCGTTAAGCTTTCATGCAGAGGACAAATAAACGTACTATGTCAGTGGTTGCTTATAAAAGTAGGTCACTTGACAGGACCACTCTGACCTGACTCCAGACTGCTGATCCAACCATTGTCGTAACTTCATTTTTTTTTAATGTATGGAATCTTATGGGACACCAGGTATAATGTAAACTGGACGTATTGGGCTGGAAGGTTCAGATATGGCGGTCTAGCTGGAAACCACAACACAGTGTATGCACACACATAACCCCCCCCCCCCCCCCCCCCCCCCCGTTTTTTAAAGGCAAATACAGAGTAAATATATCAGCATTGTTTTTCTTTATCTTGTATACATTGTATCATGGTCAGTAATTTCTTTCTGCTATAGGCTGAACAGCGTCTCATAGAGGAGCAGAAGCGGGTGCAGACATACCTGCATGAAAGCACATTTGATGTGTTGGCACGAGTTTGTGAGAAAGTGCTGATTCAAAAACACCTGGAGAACTTTCACTGTGAATTCCAGAATCTTCTAAACACTGACAAGGATGAAGGTATGTGTAACTTGTTAAAAGTGCCTGGTTTCTATTCTATGATATTTGGATTTACATTTGGTATGACATGCGAATCAGACATTTATATATATCTTGTTGCACAAATACAGCTGTCCAGTCGTGCCATTAGGGGTCTCTGTGGCGAACCGGTCAAGCCATTTGCCTCATTCTCTGAAGGCCATGTGTTCATTTCATGGCTGACTCGTGCAGTTTCTACGGAGATCTCTGGGGGATCGTCGCCAAAGCTACGGAGTTTGTGCTTTGTGTTATGCTCTCAGCAGGCAGCCGGCCGTTCTGCAGAGAGAGAGACCGAGCCGTATGGGATAAAACCTGGTGCAATGAAGTCCATCATCTTAACCTTTTGACCAGTAAATAACCCTGTCAGACTACCAACATTCACAGAAGTTACATCATCATCAGGTTATTTACAACCTCTCTCTCTCTCTCTCTCTCTCTCTCTCTCTCTCTCTCTCCTCTCTCTCGAGTCTCCTCTCTCTCTCTCTCTCTCTCTCTCTCTCTCTCTCTCTCTCTCTCCCTCTCTCTCTCTCCCTCTCCCTCTCTCTCCAGCCCTATGTGCTTTCATAGCCATTACATCTTTAATGTCTTGTATCCACCTTTGCAGAGGTCGAACTCTGCCTCTTTTTCCGGAAACTGCACCTTCCGTCACCGCTCTCTCCAGGCTACCATGTTGTTTCACATGGCCAGAATACTCCAACTCCCTCCCTCCCTCTCCAGCCCTATGTGCTTTCATAGCCATTACATCTTTAATGTCTTGTATCCACCTTTGCAGAGGTCGAACTCTGCCTCTTTTTCCGGAAACTGCACCTTCCGTCACCATTCTCTCCAGGCTACCATGTTGTTTCACATGGCCAGAATACTCCAACTCCCTCCCTCCCTCTCCAGCCCTATGTGCTTTCATAGCCATTACATCTTTATTAATGTCTTGTATCCACCTTTGCAGAGGTCGAACTCTGCCTCTTTTTCCAGAAACTGCACCTTCCGTCACTGTTCTCTCCAGGCTACCATGTTGTTTCACATGGCCAGAATACTCCAACTTTCGGGATAGGATGCTGTTTCTGAGCCAATTCTCCTTGATGTTCAGATCATTTAAGATGTGGATGTTTTTCTTCTGTTTGGTCCATGGCATTGTAAGAATATTTCTATAGCATTTCAGTTCAGTTCAAAAAATTGTGTTCAACTATTATGTAAAGGTCCACTACTCACATGTATAAGTTGCTACAAGAAAGGTGCATGACCTCATAACTCTTAGGTGCTGTGCCATAGGTTCTTCATGCTGTTTAGTGAACTAGCCACAATCTGGAATTTTGCTATGCAGATGACACAGTTCCCTTTTAGAACAATGTAAAGGGAATAGAACATTTAATCATGTTTGTCCAAAAACACTTTGAAGATTGTATCAAAACTATGGCAGAGAAGCAATACTGACATTCTGAAAGATCTGATCATCAAGGAAGATTGGCTAATAAACGGCATCTTGTCTTGGAAGCTTAAATATTTTGACCATATCTAGAGCATGGTGGATTGGGAAAATAACATTTAACACCTCTGTTTTATGCATTGGTTGAAAAGGCGTGGAAGAGAAATTCTGATTTTATACCAAGATTAATAGAGACTAAACAGGTAGTTGCATGTCTTGTAGATGTTGTTGCAGGAATTTTTTTTTTTAAATTAATTAGTTTGCCATTGCTTTCTGGCTGTTAATACCATTGTTGAAATCAGCACAGAGCGTCTGCTGGCAGATTTCCTGCAGCAGCAATTGAACCAGGTATCTTGTAATTATAAATTAGGCCACATATGTTTGTGTTATATATTTCTGCTGAGCACAGGGTTATTGTATGTTGTTACTTCCTCATAGATCTGGGACGTATGTATCAGTTGGTATCTCGTATACAAGATGGTCTACATGAATTGAGGTCCCTGTTAGAGAAACATATTCTGAACCAAGGTCTTTCTGCGCTGGAGAAATGCGGGGAGGCTGCACTTAATGTAGGTGCTATGCTTTTGTTCAGCCTGTGAATTCTGTTGTTGTTTTTCTTTTCATTGTTTTGAGCCATTGTTTGTTTTGGCGTAGCGGGTGTAGTGAATAGTATGCTTGTTAACTGATTTAAGAATCAGCCTCATGGCACACAGGGCATACCTGTAGATGCTCAGTCTCCTGCTATTCCAGTGGCATACTGTTTGTCTCCAAATATTGTTGGGTTCATTAAGATAACTCTGTATAATAATAAAAAAAACATTGATCTCAAGATGGCAGAGAATACCTAAAGACAGTTAACATACATATAGAGAGCACTGTTAATTTCCACATTTGAGTGGGTTTTTTTGGGGGGGGGGGGGGGGGCTGAAAGTAATTTGTGAACAGTTATATCACACGGACAACATAGCCCTAAACATGGTACCCCTACAGATGACTTCCTGGTAAAGGAGAAGGACTAGGCATGACATAATGTTATTGCTTCACTTATTTTTGCTTCTGTCAGCGCTTTGCTAATAGTTTCCACATTTGGATGGAAGTCTATGGTTTCACTGCTTAAGCTACTGAGTTGAATGCTTGGTGCAGCACTGTGATCTTTGTGTGTGTGTGTGCGTGCGTGCGGGTTCAGGGTAGATAATCTCAGGTATACCTTATATAAGGAATACCTTATGCTATAACGTATGTTTAACAAACTTCTCGTGTCCGACTACTTCCATCAGCGATAAATGCATTTCTGGTGGCAGCTGTTGGCTTTGGTGCCTCTAGCAACTGCCTTATGTATTTCTGTGTGTGTATATTTCTGGACGGGACTAATTGTTTGTTCACCAGTTTTTCAAATGGAACAGTGAGGGTCATTTTATTTGATGTTCACGGATGTAGAAACAAAGCAAGTATGAGGTGACGCAGTTCAGTGAAACTCAGACCTTGGCTAAGACCGTTACAGAGTTTATACTGAGTTGAGATGTATGAGATGTTTTATATTTTTTGCAAGGATCACTGTTTGATCACTTTAATTATAATTTTTGAGAGCTTGATAGTTCTTGTGTTATAAAAAAAAAAATTCTAATCTAGTTATTTGTTTTGTAAGAAGTGTTTATTTTTAAAAACGAATTATCATAATTTAATGAATTAAATAATATTTGTGAGAGAAATCTGTTGTTGATTCCAGGATCCAAAAGTATATGTACAGACTACGTTGAGTGTCCATAAAAAATACCATGCCCTTGTGATGACAGCATTTGCCAACGATGCAGGTTTTGTGGCGGCACTGGACAAGGTGAGTTATCCTGTCCGCCCCGAGAAGCTGCAACCCATCACTTTCGGTTAGGTGCACTCCCGCATAAATGTCAGTTTTCCGACCTTGCTATGGCGGCTTATTCATGAGAAATGTAGCTAAAATGTACTGGTATTGTTTGCACGGGTCCACATTTTTAGCAGGACCAGACATTTTTTTTGTTTACCACACACACACACACACAAAATTTAGCATTCGGCTGGGTGAAAAAAAAATGGGGGCGGGGGGCATTTAACTCTTTGAGTCCCAGAGTGTTTAGCATCAGACTAACAAGAGGAAGTTAAGAGAGACGTAATATCGGCGCATTATGTGTTCATTGAACTTTTAGGTAGAAACCTAAGAACGTGTGATGCATTCATTGTGACTCCAAGAGTTAATATAAATTATGACATCATAATTTCCGAATACTCTTAATGGTTACCCGGCAGCCTGGTTGCAGAATCAGGAAAGAGATCAAAATTTGTGTATGGTTGAAGGGAGATAATTCAATTAATTGTGCTATTGATGACCCCTCTTTGTAGTTATAGAAATATTTTTAAAAAATGCACTTAAATTCAGTTTTTGGAACTTTTTAGTGTGACCTGCATTAGATTCATCAAGAAATAGATAAAATGGTTTTGCTATCACGCTAGAATGCAGCGAGATCGATACCATCACAGGCCCTACATTTCAGAAGATCAGCTACAAGAGCAAGAGGACGACCGCGAAAAATAATGGATTATCAGTATTAAAGACACATTACTCCTTTATGGCATGACAGTAGCCAGTGCCAGCCAGCATGCACTGGATCCTTATTCCTCCCCACGATGATGCTGATAATGATGATGACGGAAAGTTGGCAGTATTGATGTACTCTAGACTGCATAAACTAAAAAGAAGCACCAAAAATGTATTTGATAATTGGGGACCATGTTATAAAGAAAAACAAATGCCTCCTTGAGGCTGTGGTGAGCCGTCAGCATAAGTTAAGTGCAGAGACCAGATCCCTTCAAGTAGTGTTTTCCTCTCCTGCAGGCATGCGGGCAGTTCATCAACTCCAATGCTGTGACAAGGCAGGCCAACTCCTCTAGCAAATCTCCAGAACTTTTGGCACGATACTGTGACCTGCTTCTGAAAAAAAGGTAACATTTTTTGCCTATCTAAATTGGGGGGGGGGGGGGGGGTGGTGGTGAATTTTTGTAATTATTTCACCGTACTTTTAGCTCTGAGATTTGGTATTTTTTGTTATCCTTTGGGTTGGATGTTACTTAAAATAATGCTTTTGTTACTTCCAGTGTTGCTGACTTTTCTTCTTTTTTTCGCATTCACCAGCTGTAAACTCCAGCAGAAAGTTTTGGTTGTCCATCAACTTCTGGACTGTAGTTCTGTTCCAGAAGAGTGTTGCGTGCACTTCCATTTTACAGATCTGATTCATGCGTGTGCAGACTGTTCATTCCTTGCCTCTCAGGCAGATGCACCCCGACTTTAAGGGAAGGTCCCAATCAGTCAACAGTTATAATATGCTTGTTGGGGAGGCAGTGGGTCTATTCTTGTTTTCCCCATAATGGGGTTCCGAAAGTCACACAGTGAGCTGAATTATGTTTTAGCGGATGTCATCTTATTTTGTTTCCCATTACAACACACAGAATACAATAAAGTAAATTGGTTTCATGGCTATATGGTAGGCAGCTGTTATTTAGTGTTGTTTGTCTGAATGTGAGATCATTTGTGTGATGGAGGTGGACCTACTCACTGCTGCTGCCATGGATGGATAAATGTGGGACAACCCTGCAAAACCCACAGTGCCTTTGTTCCGACAAATCTTCTTCTTCTTCGCGTTCTCCAGCTGTACACTCTGGCGGAAAGTTATGGTTGCTCGTCCACTACTGAACTGCAGTCCTGCTCCAGAATCTGAGTGTTGCGTGTGCATCAGTTTAACAGATCTCATTCTCTTGAATACAGACTGTTGGTTCCTTGCCTCTCCGACAGATGCACTCCCACTTCAAAGGAAGCTCCCCAATTAGTCGACTCTTACGACATGCTTTTGGGGAGGCAGTGGGTCTATTCTTGTTTTCCCCACATTGTGGCCCCGGAATCCACACGGGGGGTTCCGACAAATGAATGTTCGTCTCCATCCCTCTTTCTCCGACCTTAATTTTCTTTCACCCTCGCTCTTTTCCTTCACCGCTCTCTCCATCTCTCTTCTGGTAATTTAGCAAGTAGCAACATGTTAATTTATAGGTTGATTTAAAGTTAGTTAGTTAGTTAGTTGAGCTATCATCGTTGCACTCCGGACATGTCCATAGGTGCTCAGATGGCTAATAGTACCAGTTCTATGTTGATTAACAAGTCGTCTGGTGTGCGTCTCTTTTTTTGCTATGGCGATCTTAATTCCCAAGTCTGCCATTCTGGCGAGTGATGTGGATTCACTGCCACCAAAGTCCTCTATCCTTCCCATTTCTCTGAGGGCATTCATAATATCAGCATGATCCATAGGCTGACCGTCGGTAGTGATAGCGGATCCAGCCAACCTGTCAGCTCTTTCATTTCCTGCGTGTCCCGGAACAAAAATAAAGGTGACTCCACGCACAGTGGACTTCTGTAATGATTCAAGCCATTGTTTTCGCACTGAACCTGCCTGAACCCTCCGGATCACACTCATTGAATCACTGATTATACATACGCGGGTGTATTTTTGTGTTTCAAGCTAGGCAAACGCTTGTGTCACTGCCATCACCTCCATCATCATGCTGCTGGTTGTCATGGAGAAGGCGCCGTTGGCTTCTTTGACTGTTCTGCCCGCTGAGCGTGCTGTAAATGCCCATGCACTCCTTTTTTGGCGTATAATGGATCCGTCTGTGTAGATAAGTGCATCTGCTTCGTCTGAATTTTCACTGATGAGAGCATTGACCTCTGCATTAACAGCAACAGGATTCTCTTCTCTATATCGCCTGTTGAGTGTGGCAATACAGGAAAATGTATAAATAAACAAATGAGGCACAGGTATCCACTCTGCACCAGGAATGATGTCGATTAGGCTGCATATTTGCCTAACATCTTCTGCCCGACCAAGCCACGATTTTTCCTTCTTCAGTTTGTCACCCTTTTCACTAAGAAGCGCTTGATGCAGTGGGTGTTTCTTATCAGCACATATTAAGGTATGCCCGAGCCCTCCACATCCTGATCCTTTGGTTCATTGTTGGAAAGTCAAGTAGATACCTCATTGCTCCACAGGATGTGTCTCTTGTGCATCCCAAAATAATGCGCATGGCTTCATTTTGCACTTTTTTAAGTCGTTCAATCTGGGTAGCACTGACAGTGAGGATGGCCAGAGCGTATTCAATGGGGGAAAGGACCAGACCGTAGAATAGAAGTATTAGTAGTCTTTGCTCGATATTGGAAGCAGCCATAATCCTGATTGCAGATAGACCTTTGTGTGCTTTTGTTATCACATGGTCAACGTGTTCCCTGAATGACAAGCTGCGATCAAACCTCACCCCGAGAAACGTCATAACGTTGGTTCTGATCAACACATTATCACGCATTTTCACTTCTGGTAAGTCCGACTTGACAATGTGATTGTTCAAAGAGAACTATGACACTGATGCCTTCGAGGGATTGACATAGGCATTGGAACCATCACACCAGGCGGCAATTTGATCGAGTTCTTTGTGAATTGTGCTGGTGATCTCTGTCTATCACGCCCTCGTCGATAAATCAAAATGTCATAAGCTGATTTAAAGTAATGTGCAGTAAGGCCCCCCCCCCCCCCCAATTTATGTTTTGAAACTCCTTAAATGAGCTTGTAAAAACAGATGGCTCTTGATGCATGTCTAGACTCAAATGTAATGTATCTTTAATTAAATACTTTCTGACCCAAGCAGCAAATACAGTTATTATATTTATCCAGAAAATTTGAGTTGAAAAATTGACATCACAGGACTCTCCCCATTTCCAGCAGCTAGCGCAGAGTCCCAGCTCCAGTGCTGCAAGTAGCAATTTTATTACCTGTCTGTCTTGCCCTTCCTCTGAGTGCCGGCCAAATACAGTGGTCACTTGCTTCTGCACAGCTCTCATGAGGCAGTGATGATCTATTGATACTGGTCACTTGCTTCTGCACAGCTCTTACGAGGCAGTGATGATCTATCGATATTGGTCACTTGCTTCTGCACAGCTCTCATGAGGCAGTGATGATCTATTGATACTGGTCACTTGCTTCTGCACAGCTCTCACGAGGCAGTGATGATCTATTGATACTGATCACTTGGTTCTGCACAGCTCCACAGCTCTCACGAAGCAGTGATTATCTATTGATACTGATCACTTGCTTCTGTACAGCTCTCACGAGGCAGTGATGATCTATCGATACTGGTCACTTGGTTCTGCACAGCTCTCACGAGGCAGTGATGATCTATCGATACTGGTCACTTGCTTCTATACAGCTCTCACGAGGCAGTGATGATCTATTGATACTGGTCACTTGCTTCTGCACAGCTCTCACGAGGCAGTGATGATCTATTGATACTGGTCACTTGCTTCTGCACAGCTCTCACGAGGCAGCGATGATCTATTGATACTGGTCACTTGCTTCTGCACAGCTCTCACGAGGCAGTGATGATCTATTGATACTGGTCACTTGCTTCTGCACAGCTCTCATGAGGCAGTGATGATCTATTGATACTGATCTCTTGCTTCTGCACAGCTCTCACGAGGCAGTGATGATCTATTGATACTGGTCACTTGCTTCTGCACAGCTCTCACGAGGCAGTGATGATCTATTGATACTGGTCACTTGCTTCTGCACAGCTCTCACGAGGCAGTGATGATCTATTGATACTATCTATTCATGATGATCTGTCTGTTCACTCTTCCACATGGTTCACTTGCTCCCAAATGGCTTTGACCTCATCTGGCTTGTCAGGCATCAGTTCACCACTGAGTGGTGGAGAACCAGCCAGTCTGTCAGCCTGTTCATTTATTAACACACCAGCATGCCTTAGAGAAAAGCTGCACAGAATGAGCAGTGGATACTTTAAGTTGCAGGCTTTTGAAACTGAAAATTATCATAGATGCTGTAAAAAATAATGAGTTAAAGTAACAGTTGGGGTAGATTGGACTGGTGCATGTGAGCGGTATGTGAAACATTCTGTCATACAGGCAGGTATATGGACTGATGAATAGGCAGACTAAAGAATTATCAGGTCTTTGTCTTAGAAAACCATGGACCAAGAAGAAGGAAAACATGTGACATTTTGCATGACCTGAACATCAAGGACAACTGGCTCTTAAACAGCATCCTCTCCCGAAAGCTGAGGTATTTTAGATGTGTCAAACACCATAGCGGTCTGGAGAGAACAGTGGTGGAGGCTGCAGTTTCTGGAAAGTGAGGCAGAGGCTTACCTCCACAAAGGTGGATACAGGACCTTGAAGATGCATTGGCTGTGAAAGCACACATCGCTGGAGAACTGGCTACAGAAAGACTTTTATGTGTACCATGAAGAGAGATGTTCTGTAAAGGACAGGGATTGATTGATTGATTACCCATAAGAAAAAGTACCACTTCTTCTTCTTCTTCTTCTGGCCTTTGAACCACTAATGGAGCATAGGCCCTTATACACCAAGTCGTTCTATCTATGGCTATCGCATGCGGCTCTCGCTGTGTCCTTCTCATTTTTTTTTAAACTTCAGTCTCTAGCTAGCTTCTCAATGTATTTTTTGTGTGTCTTCTTTTATTGCTATGCCCCTGTGAGTTTCAGTGCAAAGACATTCTAGTTATATTGTTCTCAGATTTTCTCAATGTGTGTCCTATCCAATGCCAGTGCCTTTTCTTCACCTCTTGGTCCACTGGAGCTTGTTTAGGTCTCTCCCAAAGCTCTACATAAGTGATTCTTTCATACCACCACACCCTCCTCCCCCTCTATTCTGTGCAGGCACCAGTTAATGAATGTTTATAGTTTATTATTAATTGCCTTAGTTACAGTACCACTGCATCATGCTAAATAATCATGGGTACATTTCATCATCTGTCTTTTCCAGTTCGAAAAATCCAGAGGAAGCAGAGCTTGAGGATACTTTAAACCAAGTGGTAGGTTCACTGTTGTGACAAAAGTTTCTAGTTGGACAGTCTTTACAAATACTAATAGATAGCATTTTATGATTGCATCAATAATTAGGTGTTTTTACAATTATCCCGCTGAGAGATATGTTTCTTCCATTTCTCCATCTTAGTCTTGAGTGATTATTTGTGTGTGCCTTTCCTGCCCCCCCCCCCCACTCTCTCTCTCTCTCTCTCTTTCTTTCTCTCTCTCTCTCTTTCTTTCTCTCTCTCTCATTCTCTCTCTCTCATTCTCTCTCTCTCTCTCTCTCTCTCTCTCTCTCTCTCTCTTTCTCTCACACACACACCCATGCACACACCCACCCACACACACTATGAAAATGTTGGAGGTAGCCTAATGACCTCATATAAAATATTTTTTTCAGTAGCTTGACAAGATATATTACATTTAAAACAAAACAACCTTGGCTTGAAAACGAATTCTTTTAAAACTAAAACTCATTTGTTTATTACCTTAATTTTAACATTAGCTAAACTATTCCTTTAGTACCTGACTCATTTCACTCCCAATTCGACGCAGCCGTGAGTGAGTACCGGTTGCAGTCCCGGGAAGTAAAGGTGGCTGGCCTGATGCTGACCACATCACCCATCTTGTGCTGTTTGGTCTTTGAAAATATAGGTCTAGCCCTATACATGCGTAAAGGTGTGGAAAAGGGACTTTTACTTTATTGTTTAACCTACCTTACTCATTCATTTTGAAACCTCAGTTATAAATGTACATTTAATATATTATTTAACCACCTTATTCTGTGACCCCTAGTTTGCTGGCATCAAATTGTTAATTATTAATGATCACACACTTGACACATTTTTCTTCGCTTCATCTTCTAAACTGCACAGATGGTAGTATTCAAGTACATTGAGGATAAGGATGTGTTCCAGAAGTTTTACAGTAAAATGTTGGCCAAGCGCCTGGTGGGTCACATGTCAGCCTCGGATGATGCAGAAGCCAGCATGATCTCCAAATTAAAGGTGAGTAAATATGAATCTCAGGTTCTGTCGCAATCAAAAGAAGACCATGTCTCCCAGATCGACCCAGTTTTAAATGGGTACCAGGTAAAGTCCTGGGAAGGAGAGGCAGCCCTGTGACATTGACTACATAACCCAGGATTGCTTTATAAAATATTAGTCTAACCTTGAATGTTGAATGTAAGAATCAACATCACAGCACTCAGTATGCTCCAGTAAGTGCTCGGTCTCCATCTTCAGCACTGTCTGCCCTCTACAGTAGCACTGTCTGCCCTCGTCAGTAGCACTGTCTGCCCTCCACAGTAGCACTGTCTGCCCTTCACAGTAGCCCTGTCTGCCCTCTACAGTAGCCCTGTCTGCCCTCTACAGTAGCACTGTCTGCCCTCCACAGTAGCCATGTCTGCCCTCTACAGTAGCCCTGTCTGCCCTCTACAGTAGCCCTGTCTGCCCTCTACAGTAACCCTGTCTGCCCTTCACAGTAGCACTGTCTGCCCTCTACATTAGCCCTGTCTGCCCTCTACAGTAGCCCTGTCTGCCCTCCACAGTAGCCCTGTCTGCCCTCTACAGTAGCCCTTTCTGCCCTCCACAGTAGCCCTGTCTGCCCTCCACAGTAGCCCTGTCTGCCCTCCACAGTAGCCCTGTCTAGCCTCTACAGTAGCCCTGTCTGCCCTCCACAGTAGCCCTGTCTGCCCTCTACAGTAGCCCTGTCTGCCCTCTACAGTAGCCCTGTCTGCCCTCCACTGTAGCCCTGTCTGCCCTCTACAGTAGCACTGTCTGCCCTCCACAGTAGCACTGTCTGCCCTCCACAGTAGCCCTGTCTGCCCTCCACAGTAACCCTGTCTGCCCTCCACAGTAGCTCTGTCTGTCCTCCACAGTAGCCCTGTCTGCCCACAGTAACCCTGTCTGCCCACAGTAACCCTGTCTGCCCACAGTAACCCTGTCTGCCCTCCACAGTAGCACTGTCTGCCCTCCACAGTAGCACTGTCTGCCCTCCACAGTAGCACTGTCTGCCCTCCACAGTAGCCCTGTCTGCCCACAGTAACCCTGTCTGCCCTCCACAGTAGCACTGTCTGCCCTCCACAGTAGCACTGTCTGCCCTCTACAGTAGCCCTGTCTGCCCTCCACAGTAGCCCTGTCTGCCCACAGTAACCCTGTCTGCCCTCCACAGTAGCACTGTCTGCCCTCTACAGTAGCACTGTCTGCCCTCTACAGTAGCACTGTCTGCCCTCCACAGTAGCACTGTCTGCCCTCCACAGTAGCACTGTCTGCCCTCTACAGTAGCACTGTCCTCCCTCCACAGTAGCCCTGTCTGCCCTCCACAGTAGCCCTGTCTGCCCTCCACAGTAACCCTGTCTGCCCTCCACAGTAACCCTGTCTGCCCTCCACAGTAGCACTGTCTGCCCTCCACAGTAGCACTGTCTGCCCTCCACAGTAGCACTGTCTGCCCTCCACAGTAGCACTGTCTGCCCTCCACAGTAGCCCTGTCTGCCCTCCACAGTAGCCCTGTCTGCCCTCCACAGTAGCCCTGTCTAGCCTCTACAGTAACCCTGTCTGCCCTCCACAGTAGCCCTGTCTGCCCTCCACAGTAGCCCTGTCTGCCCTCCACAGTAACCCTGTCTGCCCTCCACAGTAACCCTGTCTGCCCTCCACAGTAGCCCTGTCTGCCCTCCACAGTAGCCCTGTCTGCCCTCCACAGTAACCCTGTCTGCCCTCCACAGTAGCCCTGTCTGCCCTCCACAGTAGCACTGTCTGCCCTCCACAGTAGCACTGTCTGCCCTCTACAGTAGCACTGTCTGCCCTCCACAGTAGCCCTGTCTGCCCACAGTAACCCTGTCTGCCCTCCACAGTAGCACTGTCTGCCCTCCACAGTAGCACTGTCTGCCCTCTACAGTAGCCCTGTCTGCCCTCCACAGTAGCCCTGTCTGCCCACAGTAACCCTGTCTGCCCTCCACAGTAGCACTGTCTGCCCTCTACAGTAGCACTGTCTGCCCTCTACAGTAGCACTGTCTGCCCTCCACAGTAGCACTGTCTGCCCTCCACAGTAGCACTGTCTGCCCTCTACAGTAGCACACTGTCCTCCCTCCACAGTAGCCCTGTCTGCCCTCCACAGTAGCCCCTGTCTGCCCTCCACAGTAACCCTGTCTGCCCTCCACAGTAACCCTGTCTGCCCTCCACAGTAGCACTGTCTGCCCTCCACAGTAGCACTGTCTGCCCTCCACAGTAGCACTGTCTGCCCTCCACAGTAGCACTGTCTGCCCTCCACAGTAGCCCTGTCTGCCCTCCACAGTAGCCCTGTCTGCCCTCCACAGTAGCCCTGTCTAGCCTCTACAGTAACCCTGTCTGCCCTCCACAGTAGCCCTGTCTGCCCTCCACAGTAGCCCTGTCTGCCCTCCACAGTAACCCTGTCTGCCCTCCACAGTAACCCTGTCTGCCCTCCACAGTAGCCCTGTCTGCCCTCCACAGTAACCCTGTCTGCCCTCCACAGTAGCCCTGTCTGCCCTCCACAGTAACCCTGTCTGCCCTCCACAGTAGCCCTGTCTGCCCTCCACAGTAGCCCTGTCTGCCCTCCACAGTAACCCTGTCTGCCCTCCACAGTAACCCTGTCTGCCCTCCACAGTAGCCCTGTCTGCCCTCCACAGTAACCCTGTCTGCCCTCCACAGTAGCCCTGTCTGCCCTCCACAGTAGCACTGTCTGCCCTCCACAGTAGCACTGTCTGCCCTCTACAGTAGCACTGTCTGCCCTCTACAGTAGCCCTGTCTGCCCTCCACAGTAGCCCTGTCTGCCCTCCACAGTAACCCTGTCTGCCCTCCACAGTAACCCTGTCTGCCCTCCACAGTAGCCCTGTCTGCCCTCCACAGTAGCCCTGTCTGCCCTCCACAGTAACCCTGTCTGCCCTCCACAGTAGCCCTGTCTGCCCTCCACAGTAGCACTGTCTGCCCTCCACAGTAGCACTGTCTGCCCTCTACAGTAGCACTGTCTGCCCTCCACAGTAGCCCTGTCTGCCCACAGTAACCCTGTCTGCCCTCCACAGTAGCACTGTCTGCCCTCCACAGTAGCACTGTCTGCCCTCTACAGTAGCCCTGTCTGCCCTCCACAGTAGCCCTGTCTGCCCCACAGTAACCCTGTCTGCCCTCCACAGTAGCACTGTCTGCCCTCTACAGTAGCACTGTCTGCCCTCTACAGTAGCACTGTCTGCCCTCTACAGTAGCACTGTCTGCCCCTCCACAGTAGCACTGTCTGCCCTCCACAGTAGCACTGTCTGCCCTCTACAGTAGCACTGTCCTCCCTCCACAGTAGCCCTGTCTGCCCTCCACAGTAGCCCTGTCTGCCCTCCACAGTAACCCTGTCTGCCCTCCACAGTAACCCTGTCTGCCCTCCACAGTAGCACTGTCTGCCCTCCACAGTAGCACTGTCTGCCCTCCACAGTAGCACTGTCTGCCCTCCACAGTAGCACTGTCTGCCCTCCACAGTAGCCCTGTCTGCCCTCCACAGTAGCCCTGTCTGCCCTCCACAGTAGCCCTGTCTAGCCTCTACAGTAACCCTGTCTGCCCTCCACAGTAGCCCTGTCTGCCCTCCACAGTAGCCCTGTCTGCCCTCCACAGTAACCCTGTCTGCCCTCCACAGTAACCCTGTCTGCCCTCCACAGTAGCCCTGTCTGCCCTCCACAGTAACCCTGTCTGCCCTCCACAGTAGCCCTGTCTGCCCTCCACAGTAACCCTGTCTGCCCTCCACAGTAGCCCTGTCTGCCCTCCACAGTAGCCCTGTCTGCCCTCCACAGTAACCCTGTCTGCCCTCCACAGTAACCCTGTCTGCCCTCCACAGTAGCCCTGTCTGCCCTCCACAGTAACCCTGTCTGCCCTCCACAGTAGCCCTGTCTGCCCTCCACAGTAGCACTGTCTGCCCTCCACAGTAGCACTGTCTGCCCTCTACAGTAGCACTGTCTGCCCTCTACAGTAGCCCTGTCTGCCCTCCACAGTAGCCCTGTCTGCCCTCCACAGTAGCCCTGTCTGCCCTCCACAGTAGCCCTGTCTAGCCTCTACAGTAGCCCTGTCTGCCCTCCACAGTAGCCCTGTCTGCCCTCCACAGTAGCCCTGTCTGCCCTCCACAGTAGCACTGTCTGCCCTCCACAGTAGCCCTGTCTGCCCTCCACAGTAGCCCTGTCTGCCCTCCACAGTAGCCCTGTCTGCCCTCCACAGTAGCCCTGTCTGCCCTCCACAGTAGCCCTGTCTGCCCTCTACAGTAACCCTGTCTGCCCTCTACGTTAGCCCTGTCTGCCCTCTACGTTAGCCCTGTCTGCCCTCTACAGTAGCACTGTCTGCCCTCTACAGTAGCACTGTCTGTCCTCTACAGTAGCACTGTCTGTCCTCTACAGTAGCACTGTCTGCCCTCTATAGTATCACTGTCTGCAAGCAAATCAGCTTTTTAATATGAATGCCTAAATATTTTACAGAACTGTTTTTCTGTCGAATTGTGACAGACCTAGATATTTACCCTCTGACTCAGACCTGTGCATCAGACCAATGTGTGTATGTCAGTTTGTTAAATTTAAACAGGTTACATCCAAAGTATTGGACTCTTATTGACTCAGGAAACATTCCTCTCAAAGTGTTTTTTTAACAGCTACAGCTTCCACACAGCTCTTACTGTGATACATCAGCATTTCACTAAATACATGACACATGAACCGTTAACCCAACACATGTGTTACACTGTTCATCTATTGGAGCAGTACTAATGGTTGAATTTATGGAGGGTTTCCACCACCTAGTGAAAATAAATCTTACCATGCCGGCAGTGAGAACGTATAGCATGAAAATAGGGACACAAAGAAGTGGAGGGAGTCCCAGAAGATGACTGACTTAAAGAGTCGCTGACAGCCTAAGATTTCGCAGCATCACAGTTTACTAAGCAACCAAAGCCCGCCCTAGCTTGGCTACCTACCATGTGTTATACTGCAGTGCCTAGCAGCATAAAAGCATTTATAGAAAAAAAAAAAAAACTAACTTACTACTAACTTACTAACTAACTACAGTGTGTCACATAAATAGTTCCTCAAATACAGTAGGACAGATTCTAACAACTTACCAAATACAGTGTGTTTTATATAAACATTTCCACAAAATACAGTGTGCCATATAAACAGTTTGCCAAATACAGTGGGACACAAACAGTTCACCAAATACAGTATGCCATATAAACAATTTGGCAGATACAATGGGACACATAAACAGTTCACCAAATACAGTGTACCATATAAACAGTTTGGCAGATACAGTAGGTCATATAAACAGTTCACCAAATACAGTTTGCCACAAAAGAATTTGCTGATACAGTGGGACACAAACAGTTCACCAAATACAGTGTGCCAGTTTGCCAAATACAGTGGGGCACATAAACAGTTCACCAAATACAGTGTGACATATAAACAGTTAGGCAGATACAGTGGGACACATACACAGTTCACCAAATACAGTGGGACACATAAACAGTTCACCAAATACAGTGTGCCATATAAACAGTTGGGCAGATACAGTGGGACACATAAACTGTTCATCAAATACTGTGGGGCACATACACAGTTCACCAAATACAGTGGGACGTTTAAACAGTTCACCAAATACAGTATGTCATATAAACAGTTTGGCAGATATAGTGGGACACATAAACAGTTCACCAAATACAGTGGAACACACAAGTATTTTACAGTAGGACACAAACAGTACACAAGATACTATTTGTCGCATAACACTTCACAAAATGCAGAGTATCACATAAACAGCTCACCAGTTAGTGTATCACTTGAAAATTCATAAAATCCAGTGAGATACACATAAACAGAATACAACATGGCACATAAACAGCTCACCTAATACATTGTGATACCATAACAGATAATAATAACTGATGGCTTTGTGTGGTGGAAGTGTTTTACCAAATTTCTGTTCTGTTCTTCTAGCAAGCCTGTGGTTTTGAATATACATCTAAACTTCAGAGAATGTTCCAGGACATTGGTGTTAGCAAAGATCTCAATGAAAATTTCCGCAAACACCTGGAAACTTCCAAAGATCCCCTAGACAGTAAGTCAGTAGTGCGTTTTTGTGGCACTGTAATGTCAATGTTACCTATTGATGTTGAATTAAGAATCAACATCATAACACTCGGGACACTCCCTTAAACGCTCTGTCCCCATCGTCAGCAGCAAGCGAAGAGTTCCAATTCCGATGGCACCAGTAATTGTCTAATTGTACATCAGTCTCGCTCTTCCCCTGAATGTTGTGCGTCAGCCAGATCTCCTGGTAACTTCTTCCAGCCCCATTCTCCTCAGACCCTAATGGTCTATCTGTGGCTCCTCACTGTTCACTGGCTCCCAAAGGGCCCTCACAACATCTAGATTGTCATATATCAGTTTACCATCAACTGATGTAGACAAAATATCCAAAGGATACTAACTACCCGGAACCCCAGAAGTGGTGCTTGCATCTTTGCACAGATCATGTCTATCTCTACCTTTCTCAACATACCCTGTGAGTTGGTTATAATTATGACCTGTGCAGTTGTTTCCAGCCAGCCTATCTGCCTGCTCATTTCCAAACACACCTGAATAGCCTAGGCAAAATATCCTTGTGACTCTGACAACCTGCTACCTCTGGATTGATATAATCTGTTCCATATGAAGAAAACTTGACTCCACCTTCCTGAGCATGCTTTGCGAATCTTACAGTGTGACAACATGTGTGGCTGAGATTTTTTTGCACTCATCGAAACGCTGCAGTTACCACCTCAACCTTCAGTGGTGATGTTGTTTGCCATGCTCTCTTCAGTTTTCCTTCTTCCCCATGCTTTTGCAACGGAACCCCATCCACTTTTCCTGCTTGGGGTGGCTGAAACAACCTCACAGTATGGCTATATACATTTACTGTTTGCTTGTTTCCTTAACTCTTTCTGTGCCATGAAGTGTGGCTAATTTGGCTCGCTTCTGTGACACTCAGTGATCATATCATGTGTTTTTACTTTATCCATTTAGTTAGAGCTGGCAACAGAAATGGCATTTTCACTGCATTTAGCCTTTATTGAAACGATTGGTCTTGTGACTTTTCATAGTGGTCATTTCCTTGTTTGGAATCTAATGTGTGATATTTTCTAGGACTGAAAGGGCTAATTAATAGGAACACACTCTACTTTGATAGACATGCAGATGTTTTATTTTTGATTTGATGACATACCAGAGGAATGCTAGTTTTTTCTCATGTATGTTTCAGTTGATTTCAGCATTATTTTAGACTCACATACCAGATGAATGCTACAGTTTTTCCCCTTGTATGTTTCAGTTGATTTCAGCATTATTTTAGACTGACATACCAGATGAATGCTACAGTTTTTCCCCTTGTATGTTTCAGTTGATTTCAGCTTTATTTTAGGCTGACATACCAGATGAATGCTACAGTTTTTTCCCTTGTATGTTTCAGTTGATTTCAGCATTATTTTAAATTCACATACCAGATGAATGCTACAGTTTTTCCCCTTGTATGTTTCAGTTGATTTCAGCTTTATTTTAGGCTGACATACCAGATGAATGCTACAGTTTTTCCCCTTGAATGTTTCAGTTGATTTCAGCATTATTTTAGACTGACATACCAGATGAATGCTACAGTTTTTCCCCTTGTATGTTTCAGTTGATTTCAGCATTATTTTAGACTGACATACCAGATGAATGCTAAAGTTTTCCCCCTTGTATGTTTCAGTTGATTTCAGCATTATTTTAGACTGACATACCAGATGAATGCTACAGTTTTTCCCCTTGTATGTTTCAGTTGATTTCAGCATTATTTTAGACTGACATACCAGATGAATGCTACAGTTTTTCCCCTTGTATGTTTCAGTTGATTTCAGCATTATTTTAGACTGACATACCAGAGGAATGCTAGTTTTTTCTCATGTATGTTTCAGTTGATTTCAGCATTATTTTAGACTGACATACCAGATGAATGCTACAGTTTTTCCCCTTGTATGTTTCAGTTGATTTCAGCATTATTTCAGACTCACATACCAGATGAATGCTACAGTTTTTCCCCTTGTATGTTTCAGTTGATTTCAGCATTATTTTAGACTGACATACCAGATGAATGCTACAGTTTTTCCCCTTGTATGTTTCAGTTTATTTCAGCATTATTTTAGACTCACATACCAGATGAATGCTTGTTTTTTTTCCCCTTGTATGTTTCAGTTGATTTCAGCATTATTTTAGACTGACATACCAGATGAATGCTACAGTTTTTCCCCTTGTATGTTTCAGTTGATTTCAGCATTATTTTAGGCTGACATACCAGATAAATGCTAAAGTTTTCCCCCTTGTATGTTTCAGTTGATTTCAGCATTATTTTAGACTCACATACCAGATGAATGCTACAGTTTTTCCCCTTGTATGTTTCAGTTGATTTCAGCATTATTTTAGACTGACATACCAGATGAATGCTACAGTTTTTCCCCTTGTATGTTTCAGTTGATTTCAGCATTATTTTAGGCTGACATACCAGATAAATGCTAAAGTTTTCCCCCTTGTATGTTTCAGTTGATTTCAGCATTATTTTAGACTCACATACCAGATGAATGCTACAGTTTTTCCCCTTGTATGTTTCAGTTGATTTCAGCATTATTTTAGACTGACATACCAGATGAATGCTACAGTTTTTCCCCTTGAATGTTTCAGTTGATTTCAGCATTCAGGTTCTCAGCTCAGGGTCATGGCCTTTCCAGCAGTCGTGTACATTTACATTACCAGTTGAGGTAAGCTGTACCCAGACCTGACAGGTTTATGATGACACCAGTGAGTTTTTATTGTAAAAAAATATAATAGACAAATAGACACATTGATCGGTACTCATAGAAAGACAGAAGGACACACTAGACAACGTAAACATCGAAAGCCATGGTTACCGTGCTGGAAATTGAACAAGTCACCTTCATATAGCGTGTGTGCCCTGCTATGGAAACAATTGTACTAAACATGACCATCTAGGCACTTTAAAAAAAAAAAGGTGTCATTATTCGCCATATCTGGCCTTTTTTTTCATTGTTGATGGGCATTACATTGGGATAGTAGTTAGTGAGCATTGGCCCAGCCTCAGATCTGGGTACCAGAGAATGTTCAGGGGATTGGGCTCAAAAGAAAGTTGATGATTTAGGGAGCTGGCAGACCTAGTTCATATATTGTGAAGGTGAAACCCTGATACCTCATTAGCACTGGCTGTCGGGAATTACTTTACTGTCTGTTTGGGTAGGGGCTTGTGGTAGTTTTCCCTGTACATTGCTGAAAGTATGAGTATAAGTAACAGAAACAAAAATAGTTTTATATAGTGTGACGTTTGTTGACTATATTGGAACAGATTTGAAATAGATTATTAGAGAACAGATTCTTCTTCTTCTTCTTCTTCTTCTTCTTCTTCTTCTTCTTCTTCTTCTTCTTCTTCTTCTTCTTCTTCTTCTTCTTCTTCTTCTTCTTCTTCTTCTTCTTCTTCTTCTTCTTCTTCTTCTTCTTCTTCTTCTTTGTGTTCACCAGCTGTAAACTCCAGCGGAAAGTTCTGGTTGTTCATCCACATCTGACCTTTAGCCTAGTTCCAGAACCTGAGTATTGCGTGCATATCTATTTTACAGATCTGAGTTTTATGCAGATTGTTGGTTCCTTGCCTCTCAGGCAGATGCACTCCGACTTCAAAGGAAGCTCCCAGTTAGTCGACTCTTACCACATGCTTTTGGGTAGGCAGTGGGTCTATTCTTGTTTCCCCCACAATGGGGCTCCGGAACCCACACGGGGAGAATGAGTCAGTTAATCATTGGGAGACTAGAAGGGTCACTGAGATAACAGTGTCAGCATATGATTAACTCTTGATTGCAGACATTTGTTTGTTGTTTAAGTATTGACCCTAGGCTCAGGTGGACTTTGGTAATAACTGTCTTAAATTGAAATAGTGACAGTAATAAAAAGAACAAAGTAGAATAATAAGTAGGATTGTAAAACAAAAACTGAGAAACCTCTCAAACAGCGCTACCAACAAATTAATGAGAGACCATGTAAAGTTCTCTATGTTCTGGTCCAGCAGACATCTGTCTGTCAAGCATACCTATGAGAAATAATATAACTAGAATGTCTTCGGACCTGAGCAAAGAGTCAAAGGAATATAGGCAGACCAAAAATCACATAGAGAAGGGAATGAAAGAGTATGTGACAAAGATGAGTTGTGCAGCAGGTCCTATGCTCTCATGTGATCATCTTCTTCTTTGCATTCATAAGCTCCAGTGGGAAATTCTAGTTCTTTGTTCACTTCTTGTCCCAGAACTTGAGTTTTGCATGCACATCCGTTTTACAGTTTTGGCTTATTTGTGTGCAGATTGCTGGTTCCTTATCTCTCAGGCAGATGCAGTCTGACTGAAGGAAACACCCCTGATTAGTTGCCTTGTACGACGTACTTGTTAGAGACAATGGGGCTATTCTTGTCCCCCCCAAAATGGGGCCCACGCAGGGATATTTTTGTTCTGAACTCTTCGAAAAATTCTTTTTGGGTTTTGAAATGTATAATTTTCTTGATTATCTGCATCGTCAGTTGGAAAGGAGCTACCAGAGGTTCACATCTTTCTATGGCAGTCGTCACAGCGGTCGCAAGTTGAACTGGCTGTATCAGATGTCTAAAGGAGAGGTTGTCACCAACTGCTTTAAGAACAGATACACACTTCAGGTTTGTCTGCTGCTAGCTAGATACATAGACATGCACCTGGCTGGCTTCAAAACATAGAATAGATAGAATATGTAAAGTGACAGTTAATTAGTTAAGTCTTTTCTCTTGAGTCTAGGGTGGCACATATTGTTATGTTGGGGGGGGGGGGGTGAGATTCTTGCTGTATACTCGAAGGAAAGTGGGTGGGGTAAAGGTGTTGCAGTACACCTAAGGGGATTAGGGGGGGGGGGTGATCTTGCCATATACTCAAGGGAGGGAGATCTTACCATATAGTCAAGGGACCGAGATCTTGCCATATACTCAAGGGAGGGAGATCTTGCCATGTAGTCAAGGGAGGGAGATCTTGCCATATACTCAAGGGAGGGAGATCTTGCCATATACTCAAGGGAGGGAGATCTTGCCATATACTCAAGGGAGGGAGATCTTGCCATATAGTCAAGGGAGGGAGATCTTGCCATATACTCAAGGGAGGGAGATCTTGCCATATAGTCAAGGGAGGGAGATTTTGCCATATAGTCAAGGGAGGGAGATCTTGCCATATAGTCAAGGGAGGGAGATCTTGCCATAAACTCAAGGGAGGGAGATCTTGCCATATAGTCAAGGGAGGGAGATCTTGCCATATACTCAAGGGAGGGAGATCTTGCCATAAACTCAAGGGAGGGAGATCTTGCCATATACTCAAGGGAGGGAGATCTTGCCATATACTCAAGGGAGGGAGATCTTGCCATATACTCAAGGGAGGGAGATCTTGCCATATACTCGGGGGAACTTAGAAAAAAGGTTGGAGACTACTAGTCCATGTCTATCTGTGTTCTCTTTCCTGCGCTGCACATTTTATAAATAACCGTTTTCCACACCTTCAGGTGTTTTGTGTCTATAAGGCTAGATGTATATTTTATAGACCGATCGGCTCTCTTTACTTCCCAGGACTTTGCCATTTACCCATTTAAGGCTGGGTTAATCTGGGATCCAGGGTCATTTCTTGGTTTATTATGTTGCATAGTTGATACTGTTGTGTGTCAGTGATTCATGGACAGTGTATGGCAGGCCTGTTCAACTAAGATCACTCAGGGGCCAAATATTTGATGGTGGCGATCATCTCGGGGCCAGAGACCCAAGCCCTGACATAGAAATTTACCTATAAAATACAGCTTAAAAGGGTCTGCGGGCCACTTGCTAGGCCTCTGCAGGCCACCTCTGACCCACTGGCCGTCAGTTGAATAGCCCTGGTGTATGGGATTAAAGACACTTAACACTCAAACAGAATATTTCTCCAAGTTTTCTATTGAAGATGTTGACATATTTCTAAACTGCTGTGTTGTTACAGGCATCCACGTTTCAGATGGCTGTACTTCTTCAGTACAACTCGGCAGAAACATACACAGTACAACAGCTCCAGGAGAGCACCCTCATCAAAATGGTAAACTTGACTTGTAGATGACATCTTTTGTGCATTTGTGGTCTGTATCTTTCAGTAGTCAAAAGTGTTAGTTAGTTAATCAACAAATTATCCTCATTGCACATCGGACGGGTCCCTAAGTGCTTGGAATCCTCAGCGTGTGACAACTGCTAACACCAGTTCTTTGTTGGTTTACTTTTCTTCTTTGGCTGCCTGTATAGTTTCTCATGAAGATCTAAAAGCTTTGCATACGAAGACAATGGTTGGAGTCCCTGAATAGATCTAGGCTGACAAAAACCAGCTTCATATTTGTTCTAGGGTATTCTGGTGTAAGTTTTCTGGTGAACGAGCTAACAGACTTGCAAGTGTTGCTCACATGGGAAATGGATGAGCAATGGACAGGGCTGATATACTGAAAGCCCCTAAAGAAGCAGCTGGATTCAACAAATCAAGTAATGATTGTGAATTTGCAGCACTGACGAGACTACACGAA